CAGCAGTTTACCGCATTCAACTTAAAGTTTGAATCAATTTAGGTCTTCATTTGTATAGCGCAATATCATACAAAATCTAATGCTCAGGACCACCTTTTCAAATAGAGCGGTCTAGACCCGAACTCCCTTATAACCATTTACAGAGACCCCAACACTAACCACCGTTTCCCCTCGTCATGGCAGCAATGACCTTTTGGAGACGGCGGGCAAGGAAAACTTGGGGTGGGTGGGTCGTCTGCATCGACCAGTCTGGGGTGGAGAGAGAGAGAGACGAGAAGAGAAGAGGAGAAGCACAGACAGACAGACAAGAGAGTCGCACCTACTTCCACATAGAACAAGGTCCTCTTTCCTCCAGCTCAAAATTGACTATAATTCGCTTCCGCATCAATCCGGCAATCCGCCCGGGTCGCACAGTTTTCCCTTCTAAACAGTGCGCGCGCGGAATCACCCTGCTCAACAATCCCATCACGCGGCGCCGCTATCACCCCCCCTCTCGAAAAAAAGCGAATTTACCACCTTTTCTATACCTGGCCCATATCGACCCCAGATGCACATCACCATCCGTCATAAGTTTCTATAACTCGCGCCTCTTCTCTGGCGACGTGGACACTGCGTTATTTTAGACTTTACAAAGAATTGTTGAAACAGATTACATTACAATTAAACTCAAACTTCGACAGTCAGCTCTCTTCAAAAACTTCTCCTTGAGTCAACGCTCAATGTTTTTAACGAAGTGTCGTTGGTTTGGTTCAATAAAAACGTAGAAATGACAAAATTAAATCGGCTGCTCACTCAAAATTAACTAAAGCTACCTTGATCAAACCGAATGTTTCTTTTTGACTTACAAAATTGAGTTCACCGTTGTTACTCTAAAATTTCCTTTGTACATCCGTTTTCAACATTCCCTCCGTTTTTACATGTCAGGATGATGGAAAAATAAGATGTAGCCGAGTTAGTACCATAATTCCCTCCGTCAACAAGGGTCGGTGAGGCCTCCTTCCTCACACCTGCTCTGCTGCAACACCAACTCTGTCCAGCATCTGACTGCCTGCTAACACAGTTTACTCTCCACCTGCTCTAGTGTGCCCAGTCAAGGTCTGCGGTGTGGTGCAGTGGGTGGCTGCGGCCTTGCGGCTCGTCCTGCCCTGTGCCCCATGGGGAGGAAGTCTGTGTTTGTTCCCCTGCTGTTCCATCTCAGCATGTAATTGCTGGGTAAGCAGAGAGCAGCTTAATGCAAGAGCCACAGACACTAACCTAACTGTAATCGAACACCTTGTAAGAAAAACCTCTGATGGGAGGCTTACAATCCCGAAACTGTTTCCGTAAATTGTATACCCCACATGTTCGTTTTATTTAATCAAGCCTTTATTGTATGATTTATTAACCACAACAAGAAATTATTCCACTTTCCTGAGAATTCTGCTTCTGCTGACACCGAAAAGATTGCTGCAGGTTCATTACGTGTCTGGTAAACCGGCCTTTAAGTGTCATATCATGCAGGTACTACTACCATCAGTTGACTTTCAAACTTAATATGTGGGCCAGCTGAGAGCTGAGTGAGGGGCTAAAATAC